CTTCTTCTTCTTCTTCTTCTTCTTCTTCTTCTTCTTCTTCTTCTTCTTCTTCTTCTTCTTCTTCTTCTTCTTCTTTTTCTTCTTCTTCTTCTTCTTCTTCTTCTTCTTCTTCTTCTTCTTCTTTTTTTCTTCTTCTTTTTCTTTTTATTATCATGGAGCAGATCATTTTATAAAGCACTCTGAAGTCCTAGGTTCTGCTTCTAATTTCATAATTTGAATGTGCCATATACTTATCATGTGAGCATGGGCAGTTACTTATCCTTTCCGCTTCCATATCCCCATGAAGGTGGGTGTGGGAATAAATAGCACCTACCTCCCAGAAAAAGCCTCAGGATTCAGTGAGATGGGTTTTGAAAAAAAAAAAAATCAGTGTCAGCACATGCTAAGTATCCACTAAGCAGAAAACAGTCACTATTTTATTTTGTTATTGCCTCCACAGCATTGCAAATAAACCCAAGTGCATACAATGCATTCACATAGAGTCTAGGTGTGAATTTGCAGAGTCCAGTGAAGGGGGGAGAACCTGAGGACTAACATTTTTGACATGGTTGTATAATTCAAGGGAACAGGTCTACCAGTATCTATTTCAGGCAAAGTAGGCAAAAGGCAGTTCCACGGGTGGAGTAATGGAAGACACTTGGAGTCAGAGTGACTTCAAATCATTCTGCTCATATTTAAGGTAGTAGCTGCCCCCTTTTACAATTGAAGGAATGTTTACGGATTTAAGATCTAAGGAAATTAGAGGTCCATAGGGTTTACAAGTTCCACCCTAAATGAAAATGTTCAAGGATCTCATTTTCTGAGAGGCATTTGTATTTTATTGGGCATGCATCCCCTACGGATAGTAGAATCACATCTTTTTAGGCCAGTTCCTCCATGATAAGATGAAGCTTATGCAGAGATTTTGTTTCACACCAGACAGAACTGAGAGAACAAAGGCTATTTGTTGAGGCCATGGGATGATGGCAGATTGTGTCTTCCAACCCACACACTGGGGACTAAAGTGTCACAACTTGTAACCCAAAAGTTACAGAAGGGTACAGATGATCAAGTGTGGGAACAGGGCATATTGTTGATGCCTGGTTTCTCATCATTTCTTATTTTCTCCATATCTGGGTTCCAGGGAGTGGCTTCTAGTGCCTCTGTTCCTGTTACTGGCTCCTTTCTCTGGTTCCTCTGAATTGCAAGGATGGGGAAGGACTTACCCAAATCCCACAGATTCCAACCAGCTAAGGGAAATTCAGAGTCCACACCAACACCCACTTCTCTTTTTTTCTACCCTTACTCCTGCCCCAATTTTGGGAGAGGTTCACTTCTCTCAGCTCATGTATTATTGACTGTTAGGAACTATAGTAGCAATACCCATGACAAACAAACAAACACCTCAGGCACACCCTGCGTGAAATAAAGGTGAAGACTAGCAGAGACTTTGGGGAAAGTGCTCTTGACACATACTTCCAGTAATACCTTCATCCAATCTTTGTCTCCAACTTTCAATCACCTGTCACTTATACCATCAAATTATGAATCTGTCAGTGGTTGGATGCATTTATTAAGTTAGAGCCCTCAGGTCCCAGACATCTGTGATGTGTATGTGTGTGTGTGTGTGTGTGTGTATTATGTATGTATGTATGTATGTATCCATCTATCTTCAGATAATGTCTCCCTGTAATTCTGAAACTCACTCTGTAGACCAGGCTGGAGTTGAATTCATAGAAATCCTCCTGACCCTGCCTCCCAAGGGCTGGGACCAAAGGAGGGTACCACTATGCCTGGTGAGTCATCTCCTAATGATTCTCTCCACTAGCTGGTCTTCAACAATGCCTCTGAGAAAACACTTCATATCCAAACCCTAATACTGAGGCTACTGGAAGCTTGCGAGCTCCAACTATCCTCCTGCATCAGCCTTCTGCGTGCAGGGATGACAAACATCCCCACCACGACTATCTACAAAGTTTCTGATTTCTTTTTGTTTTTTTGCACAAATACTTTATTTATGTGATTACAGTTATTTACTCTATTGCCTTTCAGTTGTCTTTTTTTCTATCATACATTGATTTAGTTATAATTTCTGTATTGTAACATTCTTCTTTTTCCTTTTTATTTATGTATTTAATTAAATTTTTATTTTTTATATTAATTATAGGTTATTGACTTTGTATCCCAGCTGTAGCCCCCTCCCTCATTTCCTCCCAATCCCACCCTCCTGCCTTCATCTCCTCCTTGCCCCTCTCTAAGTCCACTGATACGGGAGGACCTCCTCCCCTTCCATCTGACTCTAGCTTATCAGGTCTCTTTAGGACTGGCTGCAATGTCCTCCTCTCTGGCCTAGCAAGGATGCTCCTCCCTGGGGAGGGGAGGAGGGGAGGAAGGTCAAAGAGCCAGCCACTGAGTTCATGTCAGAGACAAGTTAAAATATATAAATTTAGGTTTCTTGGAAGCAGCTCTTGGTTGCTATGCAAGGGGGTAAGAGAGAAAGAAAAATATTAGCAACAAAATGTCCAGATTACACGATCAAGAGGAGGAGGGGAAGCCTCTTCCCTGGAAAGTTCAGAGTAGAGGGTTACCAGTAGAGAGTTGCCAGCCATGCAAAGCAGCAGGTAGGGACTTAGGAATTCTGGGAGAACCTGGAGCTACTTGTCCTGGGCCTGAAGCACACCCTGAAGCACAGAAAAGGAAACATTTATTTTTTCAATTTCATTCTTTTGCGTGTGTATGTGTGGTGCTAGGATCAAATCCAGGCTTATATGCATGGTCCTCTGCTGAGGTATGCTTCAGTCCTGGAGGTGTTTTAAAAAATGAACCAATAATTCAATTTTATAGCTCTGCTGTACCAGACTTGCTAGTTACCACTTTACATACAGGTTTCTGTATAAGACTATGTGTTTTCTCTTTCTTTGGTTGTCTTACCAGTTTTCTCATAGGACTTCATGCAAAGAAGTCCTTCACTTGAATTGTGTGTCAAATTGTTTCCATTTGTTTAAACAAGAGGACCACTTTTTGTACTGACTCAGACTTTGCCCTCCAGTACCCTCTGCTGTGTACTATTGCATCCATCCTTCCCAACCACATGTCGTGTACTTTTTGTGCTTGGTACTACTAGGTAATGATGCTACTCAGATAAACAAAATGTTGTTCCTGTCCACCAAGTGATGCCAGTTATGGAAGGTGTACGTACAAGGGGCCAAAAGCATGATGGGAGTGGACCGGGGTGTCTGAGTCACAAGGAACATGAGCTAACTTAAGGGCACAGGCATTTGGGAAGATGGAGTTCCAGGCATGATGGACATGTTCTGTACAGTTCAGATAAAGCAAAATAAGATAGTATGTTATAACATAGAAGAGCATACAGAAATGGGATACAGGAGGCTCCTGGGAGATGGAGGAGAAAGGTAGCCCCAGAGTGTGTATAAAAGTAGATGTTTAACCTTCAAGCAGCAGAAAGTTGGTAAATAAATTTGAGCAGAGTAAGGGGCTAATGAAACTGGTTTAACAGCTAATGTGACAAGAAAAAAGGTAAATATACCATTAATATTTTATAGTCACTCCATGTTGAAATAATATTTTGTTTAAATCAGATTTTAAAAAAATATCTTATTAAAATAATTTTACCTGTTGCTCTTTAAAGTGTTGCTACTGGAGAATTTTTTAATAGGGCATGTGGGCTACAATTGTGTTTCTGTTAGCATTTGTTGGGCTAGGTTATTATTGTTGATAAAAAAGAGGGCCAAGGACAAAGCCGGAATGCTATGTTTCAAAATCAGCGCTAGGAGAATGGGCCATTAGAGGAGTCTGGGAAGGAGCAGCCAATTAAGAAAGAGGAAAATCCAGGGAGTGCAGTGTTCTGAACAGAAACGGATACAACTGTTCTTAAAAGGGAGTGTGGAAGAGAGAAAGATGCTTTGGGAAGGCTGGCTTTAGCCAGAACAGTTCTTCTGTGGGAACCAAGGCAGGTGGCTTTGGAGCCGTTGCTGGAAAGAACACAAGAGAATTCTGAGCGGAGCCATAAAGTAAGTAGAGAAAATTCTTAGATTTTTGTACTAACAAGACCAAGAAATATGGGGAGGTAACAGGAAAGGATTTGCCATGAAGGGGAACTTTATTAATTTTTCTGTAATTGCTGGTTTGGTGAGGAGATGAGATGTTCTACAGGTCCCACCTGACTCGGGGCACTTAGGATCAATTGAGTGAAGTGCAGCATGTATCCAAGAAAAAAAAAAAATTCAGGCTGAACTATGGGGTCAAAGGGAATTGCTCCTCGTAATGACACTGACTTTCAGGGGTCTTAAAATACTCCCCTCCCTTTGTTCTTCTCCCCTTGTCTTTTTAGTTTCTTTCTAGTTGTTCTCCTTCTACTACTGGCAATGGTGAGTCAAGGACAGTGTGAGCATAAGATGGCTTGACATTATTTATGTGCAATCAGGTTTTGTTTTCCATGGGTTTCTGAAGTTCAGACATAGTTTCTTTCCCTCCAGGAGATGTGAGTGCTGGGAAGTACTGCCATGTTCACAAAGACAGCCAGAAGTGTCACATGATTCCTCATCCATCACCCCCTCTCTCTCAAATCCCAGCCCTAGGCAAGATATCCTATATCCATGTATTTGTCTATTATCGGGATGACTGTCTTCTTTAGACATGATGCCTATCCCAGTGGGCAATTACATTTCTATGTCTTTTCTTGAGTAGTTTGCGAATATAACTTAAAGGTAAGTAGCAAGGTGCAATGGTTTTGTTGTATCCTATATATCAAAAGAATCATTTTTTTCTTTTGTTCTGGATTTTTTTTTTTTTTTTTTAGTGAGTTTACACCATGGCTGAGTCAATAACTGAAGTGTTCAACAGTATGGAAGTTTTGGAAACCACAGAGGAGGGTAAGTCACCCAATAAAACCTTAATGACTAGAACTAGATTTACTGTGTACCACCATCTGGAAGAAGAACCAGTCTTGTCAGAAATGGAATCATTACAGGGGGATAAAAGGGAAAAGAGGTTTCAAGGGAGGGATGAGAAAGAAAAAAAAAAAACAGAATGGAATACATGTGACAAGAAAACAAAATTGAGGCCTAGGCCTAGGAAGTGAACCAGCAGGAGAGGATGGTGGGATGGAGGAGGTGGGGCATTGGAGGGGTAGAGCAGAATGACCGGAACTGAAAGACAAGGTCATGGATTCCATTAAGGTCTCAAAGCAGATAGCAATTCAGATTCAGCCAAGGGAGGGTTCTGTAATGAGGAATAAAGGGAATAGAAACAAAAGAGACCATCACAGGCCTCTAAGTTGAGAAAGAAAGGACTCGTATCCTCACCGTAGCATGTAATGTTTATGCATATGCGAGTGTGAGTGCAGAAAGGCGACCATGATTGGGGTGTGGTGTTGAAGAATGGAGGTGGCCAGCAGAACCTGGCAACCACAGGGCTGAGAGTGGAAGGAGGAAGGGACAATAGGATGGGGAGATAAAATGGGAGGAGAATCAAGAAGGAAAAAAAAAAGTTATTTGAAAATGTCATAATGAAATCTAATACACTGATGGCTAATTAAAAATAAAACTATTAAATTAAAATAAATTTCATGTACAAACTTTCCTCAAATGTGAAGTCATCAGCTAAGTTATGGTATCATCTGAGAGACAGATGAACCTGAGTGGAATGATAGAAATCGGGAGATAAATTACAAACACTGATTATTATTTCCTTTTTAAATTATTGGTGTGTGTTAATTATACAAAATAATGGGTTTCATTGTGAAGTTTTTATATATGCATGTAACTTAATTTTAATCCGCTCATGCCCTTCACCATTTTTTTTTCCAAAAGCACATTCAGGAAAGGAACATGAGACACAAAATAAGAATTGATTTTTGAAGACAGATTTAGATTTAATAGTTAATTGGGTTGGTCTTTTCATTTGTTTGCTGTTTTTTTTTTTCAGTCATATATGGCTCAAAAGACTGTCTATCAAGACAGAGGGTAGAACCACCTCCTGGCTTCGTGGAGGCCTGAGTTCACTGAATGTGTGAGGTACAGGATACTGAAATTGCCCATGGAGCCTTGAGGGCTCTTGATCTCTGGTTAGCAGGGTCTCAGAGAGTTATTAGACATGTCACAATATTTAAGAAATGGATGTCTGGGTGAATGAGTGGATGAATGAATGATTGAGTGAGTGAACTGACTCATCAAAGCAGACATAATGACGTCATCAAATGACTAAGGCTGATGCCCACAGAAGAGAGCAGTGATGCAATAATCTTGTCGAAGGGTGGAGGGAGGGAAATGGTTTTGGTTTGTTCTCTAGAATTTTCAAAAGAGCAAATTATTTATTTTTTTTATTATTTTTTTTATTTTTATTTATTTATTTATTTATTTTTTCTCGGACCAGAGAATAAAATGGTCATTTGGAGATGGAAGGAAGGAATCATTAGAAGTGTCTTTCTGTGTGTTTGCTAAGTGGCAAAGCAAGAGAACAAGGTCATCATAATTGATTATACATTTTAAAGCTAAGTTCCACCAGACAGGAATGGACTACTCATGCGCATGATGAATGAGCAAGCACAGGAAGCCCTGGTTTCAATTGGGATTTCTTCTGCAGGCTGTTTCTTGACACATAGCACATTCACTGGGGTCTTCATTGTGTAATAATGTTGAAAGTTGCTTGCCATTTGGAAATTGGTTTGGACACAGAAATCAATGGCTTTGCTTTTTTATTTTTTATTTTTTCTCTATCATTCAGTGTTTTTTTTAAATTTTTATTTTATGTATTTTTTAGTTAAATTTTTATTTTTTACATGAATTACATTTTCTTTGCTTTGCATACCAGCTGTAGGCCCCTTCCTCCTTCCCTCTCAATCCCACCCTTCCTCTCTCACCCTCCCTCCCTCATCTCCTTCCATGCCCTTCTCCAAGTCCACTAATAGGGGAGGTCCACCTCTCCTTCCATCTGACCCTAGCTTATCAGGTCTCATCAGGACTGCAAGCAATGTCCTCCTCTGTGTTAGTGAAAGCCAGATAGCTGTCAGCTGTCAGTGCTGTGTTTACTGGCTACAACAGCGATACCTTGTGGTGATGTGAGTTAGCAGCATATAGATGACATAAATATTGCTGGGTATAAAGATAGGTTTTTACTAACTACCCTTTGCATTTTTAGTGGCTTTTGAAAACCACCGTTTTGTGTCTCATCTTCTAGAAATTTAAAGACAACACTTACAAAAAGAAAACTTGAAAGACATATATCAAGAAAACTTGAAACCCAAATATCTGGCAAACATCTTTGATTGTATTAGGATTTCAAGAGTGCGAGTCTACCAACTGGATATTCTCTAAGGTGGTGCCCTGTTTCTAAGCCACTGCTCAGGATCAGTGAGCATCTAACACACCATGTTTGCCGGTTTGGTGTCGTTGTGTTGTCTCAAATCCCTGCTACCCAAACTATGCAAGCCCCATAATCACAGCAGCTAGCATCCAAGGGTACAATGGAAACATTCCTTATCCACTAGTGGAAAGAGATTTGCATTATTTTATTTGCATTAAAGCATTTTGGATCCTTCTGGGAAAGGAATGAAAAATTCGTGAAAAACTGAAATCGGTGTATACTGAAATGCTAACACACAAGTTAATTTAATTAATACAAGTTAATACACAAGTTAATTTAATTAACAGAAGTTAATACACAAGTTAATTTTTTTTTTGTTAATTTAGGAGGATCAAATGTGTGTATGATTTTGTCTGCTTGGGTCATGACTATGTTTGGCAAATTTGGTTTCATAACCTTAACAGTTTATTAGTATTTTTACTCAGCCATCCCCTGTTTTTCTGGTTGTGTTATAAACAGAGCAACCAGCTGTTGATGCTTCTCTCTTGTCTTTGCTGGTTTGTAAGAAGCAGTTTTGCAACTCTGAAATCTCTAGCTTTTCTCTGCTGCCTTCCATTCTGGGATTTTGAAGCAAAGGGGGCAGTAGGCCCCGTGAGCATGGTGAATGCTCATGAAGTCAATCCCATTCCTCCTGTTTTGAAAGCATATTCAGTGCCTCTAATGGCTGAAATGTAGCAGGTTCTTTCCTGCTTGGCCCAACTCTACTCTAAGGGCAGGCATTTGTGATTGGTATGTTGGAAATGGCTCAGACTGGCTCAGACTGGCTGAAACTGGCTCAAGCTGGTTTCAAAGACTGATTCAAAATGCCTAGAGTGGGAGTGTTTCCACTGCACCCAATAGATAAAGAGTGCAGATCAGGGCATTTCTCCAAAAAAAAAAAAAAAAAGGCTAGCTGTGAAGCATTCTCTAGCCTCCAAACTGCAATTATGATAATAGCAATTCAAACTGTACATGAAAACTTCCATGCTATAATCCCAGCACTCATGGTGTAGAGGCAGAAGGATCATGGGTGTGAAGCTAGCCTATGAAGTGAGACCCTGCATTTTTTTTACCCTACACTTTACCAGATATTTTTTTTTTGTCTTTTAGACAGGGTTTCTCTGTGTAGCCTTGGCTGTTGTCTACCCACTTTGTAGACAAGGTTAGCCTGTAACTCACAGGGATCTGCCTGCCTCTTTCTCCCTGAGTGCAGTGATTATAGGCAAGCACCACTGCACCTGGTTTCCTTTCCTAGATTTGACTCAGTGGCAGGTTCTCTTATTACCTCCCCCTGGAGGGTGCAGCCTTGCCAGGCCACAGAGGAAGACAAAGCAGCCACTCCTTAAGAGACCTGATAGACTAGGGTCAAATAGAAGGGGAAGAAGACCTCCCCTAGCAGTGGACTAGGGGAGGGGCATAGGAGGAGAAGAGGGAGGGAGGGTGGAATTGGGAGGGGATAGGGGAGGGGGCTACAGCTGGGATACAAAGTGAATAAATTGTGATAAATAATAAATTTTAAAAAAAAAATGAGAGAAAAAGAAACTGAAAAATTAAAAAAATTAAAAAAGAAAGCCAAGCCTGGGGTGGTGTATATACCTGTACTTTTGGACCATATCTATTTCAAGTAGATCTACATAGGCAAACTTTGTAGTTACCTATCCTAGGCTTAACCTTGAAAACATAAACAGGAGACTAGGTAAAGCTCAACCAACTGCAGTCATTAACATAATTTTAAATATGTTTCAAAAAGAAGCAAAACTTTTAATCAAATACAGTTCATAGAGGGTCTGGCAAATCTTGCCGATCCTAACATATTGCATTAAGACTAAATACCAAAAAGCTTAAAAGATAGAAGTTTCACTTAGCACTAAACAGGGAACTGACCACAGCTGGCATCCCTCAACAAATATGGCGGTAAACCCATTGCTCTACCCTCTTTATCCCTGGCCCAATGTGGCAACTAGCCATGTGTTGTTACAGGCTGTGGCTGGCAATTTAGAACATAGCCATCAGATGTCGCTGATGGTATTGCTGCCTCCTACAGTATAGCACTGTGGAGCATTTACAGCTTCCTGTAACCAAGTTCTAACATTGTAACCAAATAGGTTTTAGGACCAACTATATAATAGAACAGCATAGAACAATTTTAAAACTGTACTTGAACTCTTCTGGCCATACCAAAACTATTGGTGAGAAGGAAACAGCATTAATCCATTTTTTTTTTTAAGAAACTGGCAAAAATGCAGGCACACCTCAAATCAGCCTGTTAATCTGAATAGTATTATTCATAATCCATAATAAAACATTCATAATCCATTGTTGAATCACACAGACAGCATGCCACAAAAGCACAACTTTGATATATATATCAAGGGCTGGAGAGATAGCTCAGTGGTTAAGAGTACCGCCTGCTCTTCCAAAGGACCCGGGTTCAATTTCCAGCACCCATAGGGCAGCTCATGTCTGCCCATTTCCAAGAGATCGGATACATTCATACTAATGCACATAAAATAAAATTAAATAATTAAAAAAAAACACAAGGACAAGGACATTCATAAAAAGACACAAAAGTTCCTGGGGAAGACTGGTCGACCAGAGAATTGCAGCAGTACTCTTTGCTGGATCCAGAACCAAAGAACCAATTTGAGAGCTTCCAGGCTCTCCCCCAAACCAAAACCAATGAGAACCGAGGTTCTCCCAAAGAGCTGGCAAGAACATCTTCTGCACCTCGAGCTGGGGGATTTAATGTGCGTCTGCCAATCCTGAGGGCCAGTTCCAACTCCTTTTGCCAAAGGAAACCAAAACCAAAAAAACTAGACACCAGAAACAAGAACACAGACACAAAGAAACACAAAACATAGACCAATATCTCTGAGACACAGATAGACACGGACAGACATGAACAGACTGCTCACTTACTAGCCAGTGTTGAGCAACACATGCCAAAGGTCCTAGGGAGCCTTGGGGATCTGGATGAGCCCCCAAAAGTTATGCCCAGATCTTAAGGTCCCCAAAGACCACCAGGAGGCAGACCATGTATACAAGACCAAAGAGCTTTACTCGGGCTTAAGCCTGGTCTCTCCATTGTCACCAACACAGTGGATCAGAGAGGAGAGCTGCTACATGGCAGGGTTTTTATTTGGGGTTTGAGCAAGAACCCGGAATTCCCAGATTAGCAGTTATAGGATTGGATGATATTCAGCAAGGAAAACTTTTTACAGAGTGATTGGCTAACTAACGTAACCAACATTGAGTGAGCTATCTATAAACTTCAGGTATGTTAGGTCAGTGGGCTGCCCAGCACAGATGCCCCACCCTGAGATAAGATACCTTCATATTCTTGTGATAACCTCCAGGCTATTCCTTGGGTAGGGAATTTTAAGGTTTTCTTATTCCTGGAATTGGTCACCTATGGCTTAGTTCCTGGGACTGATGACTTTTGGGGTCAGGCCTGGTCCTTTCAGAGTAAGATTCTGTGTTTTTTTTTTTCACCACAAATCCCCCATTAAAGAAATTAAAAGTAAACGATAAGGTCATGCCTGAGCATGCTATACTGACACCCTAGTTGTGGACTTATGAGTATCCCTAATTTGAGGGCAGCCTAGGCTACAGAGTGATACCCTGTTGTTTTTAATGCCCACAATATCCTAGACTTAAACATTTAAAAGGTTAAAAGAGATGGTCAAGCCTGAGGTGGTGGCACAGGCCTACAATACCAGCCCCAAGGGTGTGGCAGCTAGAGGATGGAGTTTAAGGGCAGCCTAGGCTACATAGAGAGGCATTATTTTAGAAAAAAAAATACATACGATTCCCTACATTTAAAAAAAGGTTAAGTAAGAAGGTCAAGCCTTGGGAGGTGGCAAAGGCCCTTTAATAGCAACACATGTGGTGTGGAGGAAAGAGGATCAAGGCTACATCTTGAGACCTTTTGAAAAAGGCTCACAATTTCAATCTTAAAAAAAAAATAGAAGATAGCAGGGCACAGTGGCACATGCTGATAGTTACAGCACTTGAGGAGGCAGAGGCAGGTGGATCTCTATGAGTTTGCAGACCAGGCAAAGTGGGTCCAGGATAGCAAAGGCTACACAAAAAAAAACCCTGTCTTAGAAAAAAAGGGCAATGCCTGAGTTGGTGGCACAGGCACCAACTGTGCAGGGTGATAACTATGGATCTATTTGCATTTTTCTACAAGCAGATATCCAGTTAGACCAGCACCATTTGTTTAAGATGCTGTCTTCTTTCCATTGTATGGTTTGGGTTTCTTTGTAAAAAATTCAAGTATCTGTAAGTGTGTGGGTTTATTTCTGCTCAAGTATATAACAAGGACATTTGCATCATGTTCATAGCAGCTCTAATCACAATAGCCAGAATCTGGAAACAACCCAGATGTTCCTCAACTGAGGAATGGTTACAGAAATTGTGGTACATTTACACAATGGAATACTACTCAGCTATTAAAAAATAAGGAAATCATGAAATTTGTAGGCAAATGGTGGGGACTAGAAAAGATCATCCTGAGTGAGGTAACCCAGAAGCAGAAAGACACATATGTTTTATACTCACTTATAAGTGGATATTAAACATATAATATAGGATAAACATACTAAAATCTGTACAACTAAAGAAGCTAAGCAAGAAGGAGGACTCTGGGCAAGATGATCAATCCTTATTCAGAAAGGCAAAAAGGATGGGCATCAGAAGAGGTAGAAAACAGTGAATAGGACAGGAGCCTACCAGAGAGGGCCTCTGAAAGACTCTACCCATCAGGGTATCAAAGTAGATGCTGTGCCTCATAACCAAACTTTGGACAGATTGCAGCGAATCTTATGAAGGAAGGGAGAGACAGAAAGACCTGGAGGGGACAGGAGCTCCAGAAGGAGAACAACAGAACCAAAAACATCTGGGCCCAGGGGTCTTTTCTGAGGCTGATACTCCAACCAAGGACCATTCATGGATATAACCTAGAACCCCTGCACAGATGTAGCCCATGGCAGTTCAGTCTCCAAGAGGGGCTCCCTGGTAAGGGGAACAGGTGCTGTCTCTGACATGAACTCAGTGGCTGGTTCTTTGATCACCTCCTCCTGATGGGGAAGCAGCCCTACCAGGGCACAGAGGAAGACAATGCAGCCAGTCCTGATGAGATGTGATAGGCTAGGGTCAGATGGAAGGGGAGGAGTGTTAAGATTGTATAACAAAGTTACATGACAGGTTCACAAATCACGTCACACAACTGGTTCCACGTGGGAGGTTTATTAAGGGAATGGGTGAGGGGTCACAGAGACTGTCTCTGGGTAGGTAGGGAGAGAGAGAGGGAGAGGGCAAGGGAGAGGGAGAGGGAGAGGGAGAGGGAGAGAGAGAGAGAGAGAGAGAGAGAGAGAGAGAGAGAGAGAGAGAGAAGAGGTGTGATTTCTCTTATAAGGTGACCCAGAGCAAGTGCAGGTGGTTTCAAGTGATCCGAGGTTGGTCCATAGGTGGCCTCACAAGTGCCTGATATGCAGTTTGTCAGGTCCCTTGGGGCTGGCTGTAGAGATGCCTGCTTATGGATCCCAACATGGAGGACCTCCTGTATCAGTGGACTTGGGGAGGGGAATGGGAAGGGAAGAGGGAGAGAGGATGGGATTGGGAGGGGACAAGAGAGGGGGGATACAGCTGGGATACAAAGTGAATAAACTGTAATTAAGAAAAATAGATAAATTAAGAAAAAAATTTTGAGGTTTATATTTTTAAACCCTAGAATTCCCTCGATTTACAAAATTAAAACATTAAAAGGCAAAGCTAGGCCTGCGTGGTGACACTGGCCTCCAATACCAACACTAGGGCAGTGAAGATAGAAAGATGGAGAGGTTTTTGGCTACCTTGAGCTACAGGAGTTTGTTTGGTTTTATCTCCTACAATTCTAGATTTAAATAATTAAAATATTAAAAATTAATAAATTGTGAAAAAATTTGAAATTAAAAATATATTTCAAATGAAGGGCAAATCTAGGGTAGTAGCACAAGCTTGCTATACCAGCCATTTGGCTGCACAGGCAGGAACCTCTGTTTGAGGCCACCCTAGGTAACACAGTGAAAACCTGGTTTTCCCCCATCATTTCCTAGATTTCAGCAATTAAAAGAATAAAGATAAGGCCACATCTGGTGTGAGTAGCACAAAGCCTGAAATAGCAGCACTGGGGAGCCTGAGGCAGGTGAATGATTATTTTAAGTCCAGCTGATTTATAGTGACATCCTGAGCCTTCCCTCCAACAAGCCCAAATAATATGAAATAGGAAAAAAAAAAAGAGATACAAAGATGAAGGTCAAAAAATAAAATGCAGATGAGCTTTCTCAGTCATTGAAATTTTCAGTCCTGAATTGAGGCTGCCTTAAGACCCCAAGCTGGGATCTGGGTTGTTACTTTCCACTGCAGTTCATACCCCTGCTTACTGAATTTCTCTTTCTTTCTTTCTTTCTTTCTTTCTTTCTTTCTTTCTTTCTTTCTTTCTTTCTTTCTTT